TGTTACGGATAGGGGCATTGGCCCTTGTTTTTACATCTAAAGCGATTTTGGCAAAAATCCTTGGTGGGGTGGGGTGGTGCTGTGTATGTTTTCTCAGAAATTATTTCCCAAAACAATCCGGTACCACTTTACTTCAGGGGCACAACTATGTAGTGGTAACTCAGTTACTACTGAAGTACAAATCATGAACAAATAGTTGCTAACTTGAGATAAAAGGCATGTCACAATTCATTAATGATGAACAAACAAAAGATCAGTAAATCACATGTGTTATTTAATTGTTCCCTTCGAAAGTTCCTTCAGTAGTTCGCAAAGTTTTACAGAATTAGTTATCGGTAACACTTGACCAGGCACAAATATATAGTAATAACTCAGTCACTACTAAAGTACAAATCATGAACAGATCATGAACAAATATAGTAAATACTTGAGAAAAGATACGTCAATTCATTAATGAAGAACAGACATGAGATCAATATTTCATTTGTTATTTATTATATGATCCTTCTGTGGTTCCTTTTTAGTTCCTTCAGTAGTTCACAAAGGTTTACAAAATTAACAGATATAGTAACAAATATAGTAACTTCTTGAGATGAAAGATGTGTCAAGATTCAGTATTTAATGAATGAACGTGACATCAGTGTGTAACTAAGACTTTTTTTTTGTGGTTAATCGATACATAAGTGCATAATATTACAATATTTGTAGCCCCTCAAGTAAACTGTTACCGATACTCCAAAAGCAACATATCGAGAGACCAGTAACAGGAACTTCACACAGCCATTAGTGAACGGTTTAATGTTTTAAATGGACTTATGTGGATTCATAATTCGAGATCGTTTATGCATCACAGACATAATATGCAATGAAATGTATTACCTAAGTCGCTCCTAGACTGTGAAATAAAAAAAGAAAAAGAAGAGATCAATAAAATTAAAATAAAAAAATAAACAGTAATAGACTATGGTAATCAAGAATGAAAAATATATAATATATAATAAAAAATATATACAAGATAATAAGGATGGACTATCATATATAAGTGGAATAGTTTCATGAACAATGAAGTAATAATGTACATTGTTTACGGAAGAGAATATAGCGCAAACATTGAAAATGAACAATGTACGAAGTGGCATTGTGCTTGAGGTGATGAATCAAGTGTATAGTTGAAATACTGTCTGTATTATAAAAATAGTGAGAAATTAAGAAAGGTTTGCAACTGGCTAGAGTATTAAAATAGCAGCATAGCATTGATTAGAATCTTGTGACGTATGAGATAAGTAGTGCAGTCGTATGAGGCAAGAAATTAGTGCATGTAAAGATCCAGATGTTTGAAGTGCAGACTTGGGTTAGGCATGTCTGTCGCGAGGCAAATATGTCAACAAGATACAAACTACATTTGCTTTACATTCACAATTATCAATGATGTTAGCTAACTATCTAGTCATCAACAAGAACATAACTTCTTTTCAATGCTCAGTTAGATGTCAGATACTATCGGTAGACACGGGTGAATTTCATCTATAGCAAAAAGTCACAATCGTCAGGAAGTGGACATGCGTGGTTTGACAATGTATTCTGTGGTTATACTTGTATGTGTGATACTCTTATGATGGTGAGATTGATTACCAGTATACTATTCCCACTGAGCACTTAATTTAACCTGAGTAGCGTCTGTTGAATGAATGCATTTGAGCGATTTAGGACTGTAGGGTAACACTGAGGGGCCAAGGAGCACGCATCGAACCCACAACCCTTGAGGTGCGAAAACACACTGTGGACTGCCTGTAAAAATGTAAAAACAGAAATTTATGATCGGAAAGGGGAGGATTTATAAAAATAATGTTTGTCATTGCATGTACTCGCATTAAGCAATTTTTTTAAAATTAATTAAATAAATAAATACTCTTACATAGCTAACCGATTTGAATCAGAAAATGAATTCAGCCAGAAAATGACATGAACTCCTCCATGCAGAGCCTATTCTGGAACCCGCAGGTGCCCAATGAGCCTTGACAAAGTATTGGGTTTCAGGCTGGGTATGGGTCAGTTTTTTATGTTTAACTTTGGGCTCGGGTCGAGTTCAGGTTAGTTTTTCATCCGTGATTTTTTGTTTCGTTATTAATGCACAAATAGCTTTTTGGGCTTGCTGGGTCCTTTGCACTTTTGCACTTTCCATATCACCCCCGACACCTTCCTCTCTCATCTATCAGCTACCTGGCAGGCATCCGACTAGCAACACAAGAAATACGGCAAAAGCTCGCAAATGTCTCCATAAACGCATATGACTAATGGCTACACAATTTCGCTTTTGGGTAAGGTTCAGGTTTTAGGTTTGATAGTACAGAGCACAGAGCTTCCAGCGATCCACGATGTCTATGCCACACGCTGCACTCTGGTAAACGACTCCAGATCATCAAATCACGCAGAACGAGATTTAGGGAAAACGTTTTCCCGCGTGCAATAAGACTGCTTAACAAGTTTCAAACTGATAACTAATTATTGGGGCTTTTGTTCCGCAATGTCCATAGAGTGGCTACCCGATCCATGTCAGGAGGGACACTATGAGCTACGACACGGTTTATGAACTATCATTTCAGTTAAAAGGACTCAGATATCGACGTTGACTGTTTATTGTGTTGTTGCACTGCATGTTGATTGTTGCCTGTCATAGTCTGCAAGAAGGCATTCAGGTAAGAATTTCGTGGTACTTTGTGCCAGTGCACTGTACATATGACAGAGAACCTTGAAACCTACTATTCGGGCCGGGGTGTGAACTGCAGTAAACCTTAACATGTTTGTGGACTGTGGGGGGGAAACTGGAGAATCCAGAGGAAATGCAATGATGACAACAGGCAAAGTCCACGCATGTAGAGCCGGGGCAGAGTCTAAGGTACTGGCCCCAGAAGAGTGAAGTGACAGTGCTGCCACTGCGCTGCCGCACTGCGCTGCCTCACTGCGCTGCCGTGCTGCCATGATGTCTCCCCTGCCACTGTTAATGTCAACCAATTAAGATCTCAGTGGGGAAATTAAGTCAGCACCTTTTAAACTGTAACAACAGGAATTGCCCAATTTGGCATGGTCCAGGGCAAGCATTTGTCAATGTGTGTAACGCGGCCTGATGCAGCAGCAGCGTTGCCCTTTATTTACATTTTTCAGAGGGTTTTTCACCTTGTCATTGTGACAGCGTTGCCACAGTATCCCCCTCTACATCTGATATCTCTTGGTATGTCCCTCCTTACACAGTCAGGAACAGAAACACACGCGAAGGCTACGTGTCCCAGGGGGGACGTGGAATTCCACCTGGGCTATTTCCACACCGGCATCCCATCCACCCCCCCCCCACCCATGACCGAAGGAGATGCAGTAAAAGACCGGGGCATTACACCACCGTTGCTGCAGGGGGGGGGGGGGGTGTATGGTGCCATGCCGGGATTTTCCAAAACAGGGCTGCATTAGAGGCGCCAAGTGGATTCGGGAAGGGGGTGGCTGGGATTGGGTTATGGGACACGGCCTAGCTGAAGAAGCCTGGGGCTTTATGAGTTTGTCTGCAAAACGGCAGCCCTCCTGACAGCTTTATGGTACTGCGGACGTGCAGTGACACACCCTTCCACTATCTGCATCGCAGGAAAAGCTGATCGATAGTTCTGCATCTATAAGATGGACTTGGAGAAGTCTGAAGCTCCTCCCTCGCCCGCCCACCAGCCACCATCTCCCCATCAGGGGCCAATCGGTGACCCAGATCTCCCCCCCACCTCGTCTACACAGGCCACACAGCCCCACCGTGCCCATCAGATAATGGGCAAAGTGCACCCTGTCAGGTATGAGGTCCCCTGGGGCTGAGGGGGGAGGAATGCAGGTGCGCCAAAGCCTACGTGGCCCCAGTGGACTGTGGATCCGGCCCCCACCGATCCCAATCGCTGCCTGTAACATCCGCCACAGATATCCCAGGGACTCTTTCTTCTTCCTCTTATCTAATGAGGCCTAACTGATAACTGTGGGTGACTGTACAAGGGGGGGGGGCAGAGGGGCCACTTGAGTTCCTTTGTTTTCTTTCACACTTGAACAAAAAAAGACTCATTTGTTTTCCGCAGACTGAATGGGTTCAGACAGGCCTGAAAGATCGCTAGGCTTACCGCACTGTCGCTGTGTAGACGGCATGAGGGGGGCCGCTGTGGGAGGGGAACTGGGCCACAGCGACTGTCTAGATTGACAAATTACCCCCACCCCCTCCCAGCATCACAGCGGCATGACCCATGCTGATGCGTCACGCTTAGGTGCCTTTGAAAGGAGAGACCAAAGGGAAAGTCCACGGTCCATCACTGTACGAGAACAAAGGCCCACACTCAGAAGAAGTACAACTATTCAATACTTTTCTTTTTTTGTAACAGGGGGATAAAGGGTACTTGTTGTGTTTGCTTGGCTTAGGCTTATCTGCACATAGACGATGACATGGGAGAGGAGCATCCCAGCTGGCCCTGTTCACCTAAAACCTCCTTGAGGAGGCCAGCTGGCCCTGTTCACCTAAAACCTCCTGGAGGAGGTGAGCTGGCCCTGTTCACCTAAAACCTCCTGGAGCAGCACAGCTGGCCCTGTACACCTAAAACCTCCTGGAGGAGGCCAGCTGGTCCTGTTCAACTAAAACCTCCTGGAGGAGTCCAGCTGGCCCTGTTCACCGAAGACCTCCTGGAGGAGGCCAGCTGGGGCTGTTCATCTAAAACCTCCTAGAGCAGTGCAGCTTACCTAAGACCTCCTGGAGGAGGCCAGCTGGCCCTGTTCACCTAAAACCTCCTGGAGGAGGCCAGCTGGCCCTGTTCACCTAAGACCTCCTGGAGGAGGCCAGCCCCCAAAGTTATCCAAAACAACATGCAGGCCTGTACTCACAATATCCTTCAGCAGGAAGCTGAGATTAGATTTCAAAAAGGGTGGGAGTGGCAGACAATTACAAAACACATCTAAAAAAAGGACTGCTGTAGGAAACACATGTAAGTCCTATAATCGATTCAACATTCATTTATTTGGCTTGTGTACAGTGGTTATTCCGCTCACAGAGAGCACAAAACAAAACACAAAACTGTGGAACAAATATACCTTTTATATTTATACTTTACTGGCTCAGTTAGTAGCTAAAACTACAACAGAACACTGTGTACCTGATTAAAACCAGAGAAAATATACAAAAGTAACTATAATAGTTTTAATACTTGCTTAAGTCATATCAATTAACAACTGTTTATATACATTTATTTTCAATCGACTGACAAATCAAAGACAACGACATAACAAATATATTTAAATTACAGCTTGATAAAAATAATATATGACAATGACATTAAATTGTCTGGTTAGGTCTTTTAAGTGCTATCTATTTGGATACATGGCTGGTAAGATAACGAGCACTAAACTGAGTAAGCAGTTATTTTCAGTCGTCGTTTCTCCGCAGAGAGACGCAAGTGGTCCGTTCAGGTACAGTAACAGTTCTTCACGCACCTCAGAAGAGATTCTGTTAGGATCCGACTCATCGAAAAACGTACAGTAGTATTCCAAGGCAAAAAGGTTTGTTTTAGGTGTCTGATGCGTTCAAAGTGGTAGAATGATGCCTCCGGCTCTGAGGTCACACACGCAGCCACGGGGAGAACACGCACGAACGCGAATGTACACCAACACGCTCACCTCCATAATCCAGCTCCCCAGATCCAATCTTTGGCAGAACTTCCCAAAAAATAAAAAATAAACGGACCAGTGAAGCTGCTAATGGTGACCTTGTTTAGGAAGGTGAAGGTATGAGAAGCCAGAACGGCAGGTCATGTGATCGCCCATACTAATGAAAGGTGCCGAGTAGTGGTTTGAATTCTTGCAGCATTGGGCTAAACACTGAAAAGGGGAGTCTCCCTCCTCCCCAGACATTCACATAATTAATTACAAACACAAACAATTATTAGCCAAGATAATGATTAGCAGCAACAGCTAAAACCTCCCTAGCAATAACAAAACAACTAGTATATGATTGGCATTTGTGTAATTAGCATTTGTAAATAACCCCAGGCTAATGTCCTGAGGACAGGGTTACACATGTGCTTTAGAGAAAGTAGTAGGACACGTTTTCCAGACCCTTCTGTCTCTGTCACAGGCAGACTCCTGTCTGAGTTTGATGGATGGGGTCACTGTTTGTCTTGTTCTGTGGCTCTTTCAGTCCATTCGCCCAAGAACACCCCCCCCCCTCCCAGCACAGCTAGCAGTCCGTCTGCTGGCTGGAGAGGGGGCTCTCTATGGAGGACAGGCTGGTGGGGCTCATGCAGATATGGGACGTCTTAAACATGGACGAGATATAGAACGCCTATGAGGCAGAAAGAGACGGAAATTAGAGATGCAGAGGGACATACAGGTAGACAGAGGTTAATGACAGTCACCCACATGCTAGATACACACAGGGAAATACAGGGGTGTATTCAGGGGTGAGGCCAGAGGGGCACTGGCCTGAGCTGAAAGCTGATTGGCCACCAGAGTGCTCCTCCCCTGTCACTCACTGATTCAAAACATATCATTGGCTAAAGAGGGCCAAGGTGAGCCCCTTCGTATCAATTATGGCCCTCGTTACACTGCCCCACCTTCATGCTTGGGGAAAGGCAAGAGAGACAGCCACTCACCACCCAGTACGCAGTGAGCGCCCCCTGCAGGAAGCCCGTCAGCACATCGGTGGGGTGGTGCCGGTAGTCAGAGATCCGGCTCAGGCCTGTGTAGACGGCCAGCAGCACCAGGAGGAACTGCAGCATGGGCCGCAGCAGCCGCGCCCCCCGCCATGTGAACCGTGCCTGCAGGTAGAACTGAGAGGGGGAGGGCCGGAGGTCACATGACAGCAGCGCCAGTCAGCTGACCGCAGTGTGAACACCTGCATCGTGGGAGTCGGAAGAGTCGCTGGTCTGTCTGAATCAGTGTATGTTATAATGGGCCTGCATAACATATGTCAGTAATACTGCAACTGTGTCTTTAATTATAAATCATAAAATTCACATGGCAATATATGGCTTAACATTTTCAGGAATTAATTTAGTAATAAACCAGCAGTGTACTATACTCTATTCAAAGCATTACAAAGTAGTATAATGTAGTATACTCTTAATACTACTGACAATACATCTGTTACTGATTTTCTACCCTAATTCGACTGAATTCAACCACAAATAACATGTCTGTCTCCTTGTAAAGTCCATTTTGCCGCGATAAGATAAGAACAGTTTGGTTAAATGAGACCTTCCATGAGGCTATCAAAGGCCATTACATTAAAAACGATGTTCACCTGCGTCACTCCCAGAGTGGGAAAGCAAGGGGGCGCTGTTACATGAGGGATACAGTGGTTAAGAAGCTCGCAGTGGATTGGAGAGCTAAGCCTAACCCTAACCCTAACCCTAACCCTGAACTGTTCTGCACTGTAATTCAGGTTCAGACTGGATGGCCAGATCAAGATCCTCTGCTTCATTTTCCCATATCTACATCTACATGCATGTGCGTGCCTATAAGTAGCATTTCACAATCACAGCGACATCATCGCCCTCTGCTGTGACTGACAGCCCTAACAGCCAATTACAGCGCACGCGTGCCTGCCAATCAACAGCCACCTGTCTGCACAAGCTGGGCCACATTTCTGTCAGCACGGGCGTGCACGCGCTTCCCAAAGCCCAGCTGTGCCGCCCCAGGCGCTAACGTGTGTGAAATGCGGTTGGAACGAGAGGCGGGCGGGGAGGCGGGGCTTACCGCCAGGTATAGCAATGTGTACATGGCGAAGGAGGCGTGTCCTGAGAAGAAGGACTTCCTGCAGAGGACAGGAAATGCAGAGGAAAAAAGGTTACCTATCACCTTCTCAGCATGTCAACAAACACACGCCCCACACACACACAACGGGATTTAGGTGGCTAACAGGCAGTGTTTTGAGTTGATATATTTCCAGTCGCCTGTTCTGGACACCCAGAGAGAAACTCTCACCTGGCCTCCTCCACCATCTTGTCCTTCCGCTTGCAGGTGAAGTCGGAGACGTACTCTCCTGGCGAGCAGCCAAGTGAGGCGTAGCTGACGTTGCAAACGGACAGGAAGTGCGGCCGCAGGCGTCCCACGCCCAGTTTGGCCATGTTGGTGAGCGACTGTCCCACACAGCAGCCGAACAGGAAGCTGCCCAGCTCCTTGTACAGCGTAGAGATGTAGAGGTTGCGTACGAAGGCGCGCGAATGTACGCCGCGATAACGCACGCGGTAGCATTCGCCCAGGGCGATCTGGCGAGCGAGAGGGAAGACGGAGATCTGTCATTTATTTTTCCCCTGCATGCAATCAGATTCCCAGGCGTTTTCATTCATTATTAATTCCTGTAGAGCTCATAGGTCAATGGGACACCAGAAAATACACACTTCAGGATATCGAACCTGGATGCATGGATCAGAACATTACAACTCCATCCATTGATCCATCTCTCCATCCATCCATCCCTCCATCCATCCATCCACCACAAGTTTGTGGGGACATCAAAATGCATAAACAAGAACACCAGAACACTGTAAGCAGAGACCATCTGGAATTACTAAATGTTCTGTAAGTGACCAATCGTGCCTAATAAGATGAGTCATGTGACCCAGGGAGAGCTTAAGATCGGAACAGCATATGCTTAACGTGTAACCATTGGTCAGTGTCGTTAACGGTCGTGACCTGAACACCCCAAAGAACGTATCTGTAACTGCAGAGGGGCATTGTGGGTAAGCGGGCTCTCTTACCGTGAGCCCCGTGATGATGATGCCGCCGGAAATAAGCACGCTGTCAGGGATGGACTCGCTCTCCATGTACGGGTACATGATGCTGGTGTCCCCGCAGAAGAAGCCCCTCTTGTATGCCACCACCACCTTGAACTCGCAGACGAAGAAGGGGATCGACACTGGGGAGGGGAGAGCGGAGGTCAGCCGCGAGTATTCACGTGTGCCTGCGTGTATCTGCACTGACATCTGCATCTCCCAGCATTCCCACCACACAGAGGTATGCAAGGGGCATGCGGGCACAGCACCCAGCCCACACCGGGGGCCAGGAACATCTGTAACCACTCTCAGCTTAACGCCTGGCTGCACACAGACATGCTCACCAACATGCTCCGCTCATTCCCCCCCACACTCCGACTGCGCTCCTATGTT